GACTACAGAATGAGGACCATTTGCACCATAGTTACTATCAAAGTGAGGTATTTGATATAAAGTGAGGACCTCTTCAATGACTTTGTTTGCAGCTCTGCTGTGCTTTACTGGTTAGGTTTAGAGGTGTGAATTAAGTTTTGGTTCAGGTTAGTGTTTGGAATAATGCAGTAATGGTTAGTTTTAGGGAAAATGTCTGGGTTAGTCACAGTTACAAAAATGAATGGAAGTTAATACAATGTCCTCAGTTTAATGCAAGGATGTGTGTGTGTGTGTGTGTGTGCGTGCGTGCATGCGTGCGTGCATGTTACATATTTATTGTGCAAGTTTATAACCCCGATATACATTTATGCTTGGACATCTTAATGGTGGAAGTAAGATCCTGTCTGATTCATTTCTGTTTGGGGGAAAGAACAGCTTTTTCATTTCAGATGTTCTCACAGCACCTCTTAGTTACAGAAATCTGGTATTTATATATATTATCACATGGTCTGCATAAATACAGTGTCAGATAACAACTTCACTCATACATTAGTAGTTAATAACTGCTGCATTATTGTAGATTGTTGTTTGCTTTATTAAAATATTCTTCCAGGCGATATCAAAAACTCATACGTCAGAAGCCCTTTCTAATGACACTTTGAAATATAACATTAATTCCTTAGCATATTAAACAAACTGCATGTGAACTTGTGATGATAAATTTAGACAACTATTTTAAAAACTGCAATAATTAGATATTTTTTAATATCCATCTTTAATCTTCCAATCAGTGCCATATCTGCAATTTTTTTATTCACTTCTTGTTGAAATTTATTATAAAGTTAACCCACATGACTAAAATCCTGCTTTTCATTTTCTATTTTAATGTGTGTTGTTGGGCATTGAGATCCAGATCGAGATGGTCCAAACAAGTCAGGTCATACTTTTTCTCCTGATCACTTTTTCAGACTTCTTTATTTGGAGCATAACAAGTTGACAAATTTGCATACTGAAACAGCTAAAGTTCCACTGTTTCTTATAGAAACCAAAGAAATCAAACCATAAATGTCCAGAAATGAAGTTATTTGTAATAATGTGGAATGGCACAGGGAAAAAGTATTGAACACATGAAGAAAGGGAGGTGTAAAAAGGCATGGAAAGCCAAGACACCAGCTGAACTCTCTCAGTAATTAGAAAGCAAGCCTGCCCCTTGTCAGTGCAAGTTAAAATCAGCTGGTTCAGTCCCAAATGATGGCCAGGTATCACACAAGAACCATGTGATGATGGGTAAAAGTAAAGAGCTCTCTCAAGACCTTCACAACCTTATTGTTGCAAAGCATAATGATGGCATCGGTTACAGAAGAATGTCTAAACTTCTGAAGGTTCCAGTGAGCACTGTTGGGGCCATAATTCAGAAGAGGAAAGAACATTATTTCACCATAAACCGACCACGACCAGGTGCTCCTCACAAGATTTCTGACAGAGGAGTGAAAAGAATTATCAGAAGAGTTGTCCAAGAGCCAAGGACCACTTGTGGAGAGCTTCAGAAAGACCTGGAATTAGCAGGTACGATTGTTTCAAAGAAAACAATAAATAATGCACTGAACCACCATGGCCTGTATGCACGCTCACCACGCAAGACTCCACTGCTGAAGAAACAGCATGTTGAAGCTCCTTTAAAGTTTGCTGCACAACATTTAAACAAGCCTGTGTAATACTGGGAGAATATAGTCTGGTCAGATGAGACCAACATTGAACTGTTTGGATGCCAGAATACACATCATGTTTGGAGGTCAAATGGCACTGCACATCAGCCCAAAAACACCATACCAACAGTGAAGTTTGGAGGTGGGAACATCATGGTGTGGGGCTGTTTTTCAGCATATGGTACTGGCAAACTTCAAATAATTGAAGGAAGGATGAGTGGAAAAATGTACAGAGACACTCTTGATAAAAATCTGGTTTGATTTCTTTGTATGTATGGATCACTTGGGTTGTTACCAACATCTGGTGAAAATTTCATGTCATTAGCACCTCTAGTAATAAATTTACTGAGAAAAATGGTGACGTGTTCAATACTTATTTTACCAGTTGTATGTTATCAGTGACTATTATTAATAATCAGTTTACAAGTGTTTGTCTTTTAAATCACAGATACCTAAACTTGCACAACCCAAAACCCTTGGACACGATCTGTTCTACAAATATTAAGCCAGAGTTTGTCATTGTCCACTTACAAACCTTCCTCTGGGTGTTTTGTGAGTGAAATACATTTGTGTAGCATCTCTTTGTTTTGATGAACACACGAGGAGACAACACACGATACAAGCCGCGCCATCAATTAAAGCACCCAGCTGCTCTTTTTCACAGCGCTTTGACTCGTTTCACTGCCTCGCTCAATCGCTGCTATTTGGATGGAACGTGCTACGCCTTCATTGGGTTTTCAGCTTCTCTGTCTTTCTGAAGGCTAAATCACAATTATCTGAAAATATGACAAACAGGTGAAGCATTTTGGAAATAACAAACCGGTTTTAATCTGTCAAATATTAAGGCTTGTAAAACTTGTTGGGGAAAGTTTTAGGAGGAAGGTTTTTTTCAGGTTTTATGTCTGACATGAGAAAAAAGGCTAAGGCTGTGACAGGATGAGGTTCTTTTCTTTAACTTTTATTTTACTTATTTTGTATGAGTTTAGTGAGACTTTTGCCTGTGATATTTAAAATTATTTTTAATGCACTGATTTATTCAGTTTGTGGAATAATCACACCATCCAATCCCTTAAGCCAGCGGTTCCCAAAGTTGAGGTCGGGACCCAAAGTGGGGTCCTGAAACATCAAGGTGGGGTCCTGAAAAGATTTTCTAAATTAATTACATTTTTGCCTTAGTTGCCTAAAATGTATAAATGTAGAATAATAAATATTGTTACTATGCCCATGTTTAGTTGACCTGATACAGATGTTTATCATCCAAAAATAGTTGTGAGCACAGGTCTCTGCTACTGTTATTTTGTGGGTCAGAAGATAAAAAGTTTAGGAACCACTGCCTTAAGCTTTAACATATTACGGAACTTTTTTTTCTCCTCTTGTAATATTTACTGTAAGAAAGCACCAAAATTTTCGTCAATAAAAGCCGGCGGTTCTTTAAAGTTTAAGTGGAAAATTAGGATTAAATGTCAGCGGATGGCTTTCACAGGTACAGCTCACTGGACCTGCATGTGTGTGTAAGTGTGTGTGTGTGTGTGTGTGTGTTGGCAGAGAAAGGCGCAGCATGAGCAGTGACAAGGTCTAAGCAGGAGGAACGAACCTTGCCTGGGCTCCGAAGTCTTAAGACTCGCTGCATTTTTGATGCACCCCATTTCTGCTTCAGCTTCTCCGTTATGTCCCTGATGGAATAACAGCGCCCAGCAACCTTCCACACAGCTTACATTCACCCGGTGACGTTTGTTGTGTGTGTGTGTGTGTGTGTGTGTGTGTGTGTGTGTGTGTGTGTGTGTGTGTGTGTGTGTGTGTGGTGAGAAAGAAGGAGCACAGACAGACAAATAGAAAGCCAGAACGAGACTTTGAGAAAGGGAGAAAATGTTCCCCCTTGCCTTTTAAATATTTGAGAAGCCTTCTGCGGAACAGTGATGCAGTCAGAGACAGGCCTGTTAGCTGTGTGTGTGTGTGTGTGTGTGTGTGTTAGGACTAATTCAGCCATGAGCGAGTGAGAGGGAACACTTTCACTGTTTATTTATCCATACCCGGTCCAAAGAAAAGAGCAAGAGGAGGAGGAGGAGGATGAGAGGGTGGGAAAAAAAGGGGGAGAGAAAGAGGCTGGTCAGGTTGTCACAAACCATTAGACAGACGGACTCGGGCTGCTCCTGCTCCATGTCAATGAGAGAGACCCTGATAAATATGAGAGTGTGTGTGTGTGTGTGTGTGTGTGTGTGTGTGTGTGTGTGTGTGTGTG